ACACATTGAAATGAACAAAATGGATATACAGCATTCCAAAACTTATGGGATGCAGCCAAGCAGTACTTAGAGGGAAATTTATAGCTGTAAGTACTTACATTTAAAAAGAAGAAAGATCTCAAATAAATAACTTAAATATACATGTTAAGACACTAGAAAAAGAAAAAAGTAAATTAAAGCAAGTAGAAGGAAGGAAATGATAAAGATAAGACTAGAAATTAGTGAAATAGTGAAGAGAAAAATCAACAAAATCAAAAGTTGGTTCTTTGAAAGGATCAACACAATTGACAAACCTTTAGTTAGATTGACCCAAAACATTTTTTTAAAGATTTTATTGGGGAATTGGGGGAGGGGAACAGCACTGGGGAATCAGGGAAGGGGAACAGACAAGTTGCTGTCCCCCCATTCCCCAGTCCAGTGGTTGAGGATATCGCCCCACTGGTCCATGTTGGTATTGTGATCATTGCGCTCTTCCCGGGTGAGGCAGTCGGTCGCCGGCCATTGGATGGCCGCTCACAGTGGCTCATGGGAGCTCACACCAGCCGCCAGCTGCCCACGGCAGCCCACGGCAGCCCAGCTCCAGGTCGAGCTGCAGTTCACCATCCCAGGTGCAGAGGGCGCAGCGTCACTGGCCCAAGTGGGATCTGAACCGGCAGCCCCGCCACTCAGAGCCCGCACTCCCAGGCCAACTTTTAACCAATGAGCCACTCGGCTGGCCCCCAAAAACTTTTTAAAGATAAAGACTCAAATTATTAAAATCAAGAATGGAAGATGAGACGTTACTACCTACCTCACGCAAGGTTGGGGGGAGGATTATAAGGGAACAATAGCATGCCAACAAATTAGATAACTTAGATGAAGTGAAAAAATTCCTAGAAAGACAAGCTACCAAAACTGATTGAAGGAGATATAAAAAATCTGAACAGACCTATAACAAGAGATTGAATNCACTTGGCCTGTGTGTGCCCCGTTGCAGGTACCTGGGATAAGCAAGTAGATGTAGCAAAGACGCCGCCTTCCTGCAGGCACCACGAGGCGGCGGAACGGCCCTCCTCCTTCAGAGGTCTTGACCTCACAAGTCTCCCGCTGCCCTTCCCTGCCAGACTCAGGAAAGGAGCCCCCAGGAGCTGAGGCTAGGCTGGGTTTGGGGCTGGGGCTCTGTGTCCTGGGCTCCAGGGCCATCTTGCTGTAAGGAGGTGGGTTCAGTATGAGGTGGGGGCCATGGGGATCACTCTGAGAGCCATGCTGCTCTGGCTGTGAGAACAGGGCCCCCACCCACCTCACTGTTCTGCACCAAGGCCTGTGCTCCAGGCTCTCCCATCCCTAACCACTTTCCCCGTTTCTCCCCAGGAGGCCCTGAGTTCCTGAGGACCCCTCTGGGGGGCAGCTTCCTGGTGCATGAGTCCTTTCTCTACAGGCGGGAGAAGGCCGCTGGCGAGAAGGTGTACTGGACGTGCCGGGACCAGGCCCGCATGGGCTGCCGCAGCAGGGCCATCACCCAGGGCCAGCGGGTGATGGTGATGCGTAGGCATTGCCACCCACCCGACCTTGGGGGCCTGGAGGCCCTGAGGCAGCGCGAGCAGTTCCCCAGCCCGGCCCAGAGGGAAGGTTCAGGTGTGCACGGGCGCTGGGCCCTGGTCTCCCTGCTGACCTGGCAGCCCCCAGACCCACTCCAGAGCACAGGCTGGAAGCTGCCTGCTAGGACCTTCCATCCATGGCCTACGTCCAGTGGGGTCCAGCTTTGCACATCAGTCTGTCCACCTGGGCTGTGAGCTTCCTGAGGACAGAGGCCACTGAGGACACGCGTGCACTGGTCCCAGTCTGAGATGGGCTGTCAATGGGAGAAACCCACTCAGACTCCTGGAGAAAAGGGGGTGGTGACTGGAGTGGCATTATTGGCAGCTATAGAAAGTGCTCAGCACCCATTTATGGGGCAATGTGCCTGGAGCTTGGGGACCCTCTGTCTTTCCTCTCTAGGTCTCTCTCATGTCTGTTTTCCTCTGTCTTCTCTCTCCGTCCCTGCCGAACCCACCCAGTTCTCAATGGCCACCCCAATCCCAACATTGCGTGACTTTCCAGTTAAGGTTCTTTAAAGTCTCAAGAGAGAGTTGATTGGTTGCCAGTTGGCCAATGGGAGGGTGGACAGGGAGCTGGGAAGCCCTTGATGCAAAAGATCCAGACCAGTCATAGGCCTCCCAGAATGTTCCAGCCCAGCCACTGCCCTGGGGAACTTGCTAGCAAGTGTGGAGTCCCTGCTGAGTCAGAAGAGGCCTACAGGAAACTCGGGGTTTGGGTGGCTGCAGGGCCAGCCTCCCCAGACAACACCAGAGACCTTAGAGACAGCCATTCTTCATTTAGGGTATCAGGGCTGTGGGCCCTGGGCTGGTGACCTGTGCTTTAGTCCCCAGGGCCCTGTGACACAGGCAGGGCTGGAGGGCAAGGACCAGAGTGAATTCTTGGGTGGGGTTGGGGGTAGGGTGGTGGTAAGGGATCACATTTCCTGGCTGTAGCAGGCTAGCATCCCAGGTACCCAGGCTCCATCCCTGCTTCAAGGGCCTGGCCCAGGCACCCCACTCACAGCTTTGCGTTCCTTCCAGGAACCCTCCAGCCTCTGGAGTTCCTGAGAACTTCCCTTGGGGGGAGGTTCCTGGTGTTCGAGTCCTTCCTGTACAGAAAGGAGAAGGCTGCCGGCGAGAAGGTATACTGGATGTGCCGGGACCAGGCCCGGCTGGGCTGCCGCAGCCGGGCCATTACCCAGGGCCAGCAGGTGACGGTGATGCGTAACCACTGCCACCTGCCTGACCTGGCAGGCCTGGAGGCCCTGAGACAGCGGGAACGGCTCCCCAGCACAACCCAGCAGGAGGACCCAGGTACAGACTGGATGGGAGGCAGCGGTGGGGTACAAAAGAGCTGTGGGATCTTGGTCTCGGCCAGCCCAAGGTTCAGACACCTCTGGGGACAGACACCATCTGGGGAGCTTTGTGCCCTGGCCTTTCTGCATCTCTAGAGTCTTCTACCTGTCATCTCTACTGGCTCCTTCTTCTGAACCTGTCCCATCCTTAAAAACAAACTACCATTTTCTGTTTTATTCTAAGAGGTCTTAACTTATTACAATTGTTGTCTCTTTTGAAAATGTTGTGAAAAAATATAGACCACCCAGAAGAATGTACCAATGCGTGTGGCATATGCACACATATGCATATAAAGCTTTGCAAATAATTAACTGTATTGACCTGAAATGGGTTCCCATCACATACACAGAATATAAAACCAGTCTTTAGAAAGCATTGTG